ATGGGATTAAGAGATTAAAGACGGGCATAGGAAATCACAAGAGTATTGATTGGAGAAGTGATAAATGTCCATGAAATCTTCACAATTTACGTTCAGAGATTGCAGTGAAGACAGGTGTAAGAAATTATAAAAGTATTAATTTGGGGAACTAATAAATGTCCATGAAATCTTCACAATTTATGTTCTTCTGCCATGGCTTCAGCCAGTCCCTCCGTTCGGGGTCCCTGACTTCCTGCAACAGTGTTCTATATAGGATTGAGCTCTAGCTGTCTAGAGCAGGAACTTGTTTAAGCTCGATCAAATTTGGTTTTCTTTTATTGATTTTCTTCCCTTCTCTGCTCAATCCCCACTCTCCTACAGGGGCTTCCTGAGATCACTTCCCAAATAAATTGCCCGCACACAAGTTCTGGTCTAGGGAACTCAACCTAAAACATTTACCCTTAATGGGGAAAATTTCTCTCCCCACTTTCCTACTCCCCACATTTTTACTCTATTTTCTGTTCTTGAATTTCAAATCAAGGTTATCTTGGGTCTCCAAGGCTTTCCAAAGATCTTAGCTGAATGACTTTTTTTTTTTTTTCTGTTTTCTTGCAGTTCTCTCTTTCTTAGGTCCAGACATTTAAATCATCTTATTCTATCGCTGTTGTTTCCCGTATGTTTATCTGTCTCTCCCAGGTAACAAGTAAAGAAGTTGGGTTAAAAAACTGAATTTTAAACACCGTTTTACTTCCCCAACATGCCTAGTGAAAAGTTTAGCATTTTAAACATCTACTAAAAATCTGTTCGTAAATTTATAGCAAATTTATAGTCTAGGTTACACACTGTCAGGTGCCATTCTCAGAGGGATTTCTGTGAGGTCTCTAGAAGCATGGTTCTGGCAGGGGAGTAAGCATGCTCTCTCCTTGAATTTGGCCTCGTTAACTAACTTTTGGTAGCATTATCTCCAGCATTTGTCTTCCATATTTGGTTTCCCCTTAGATATTTTAATCATGGTTCTCAACCCCAGCCCCAGCATGCTGAAACAGTTTGTCACAATGTATTTCGTGCAAAACTACCAGCTGCTTTATCCCTTCCCTAGAAACTAAACTAGGCCATTCCTGAATCCTGTGGGATGGCGGAGAACTAACAAATGCTCTTTAAAAGGTCCCATTTGATCCTAGATAATGTCAATGGTGGCATATGGGCAAAGATAAATAAAAGGTCTCAGAATAATAATAATGATTTGGGTGATGGTTGGTTTTATTTTCTGTCTCCCTTGTAACTCCAAATCTCATAATCTACAACAATCAGTTTTTCATTCCCTGCACTGTAAGCTGTGTTGCACAACTTAGTAGATGCTCAATATGCATAAGTTGAATTCATGAATCAATGAAAAATAAGTAACTCCAGGAGAAATGAAAAGAAAACCATGGAAAACCAATATGCTATTTGGGAACTGATTTTTCTGATGGATGATTGAAAACATCTTCAACCACAATTTAAAAGTTCATTAATGAAAGACATCTTCAACCACAAGCTTAGCTATCATCCCCAATTAGAGCATAAATCAGCTACAGGTTTTGGTGTCAAATACGATCTGCAACTAACAGAAACTTACAATTTCATATAAAAATCCAATGTGAAATATGTGTAACGTCACTTTTGAAAAGTAAAATTGTACAGCACAATGCAACTAAGCATTCAAATGTAACAGGAAAGTCCACATTATCATGGAGTCAAGGGATTGCTTTTGAAAAGTTGGGAAAAAAACAGTATTCCCAAATCTGTGAATGGTAAGTTTTAAAATTATAAGCTGGGTGATACCAGCTCCATTGTTCATTTATTTAAGTCCAACTTAAATAAAGTTATTGTCCCTCTGCTATATGCCAGGCACCATTCTGTGCACTGGTGATACACAAGTAAATAAAACAGACCAAAAAATAATTTCTGCTCATATGGAGCCAAAATTCTCATTTACACTTTAAGTATTTTTACCTGTATTCACCCAGAGTTAAACAAAAAAAAGAAAAAGAAAAAGAAAGGAACATCACAATAAGTTTGTCTCCTAGAACTACCAAATTCCACTTGGTACTGCTAGGATTGCTTGAGTTTATGAAATCCTACAACATAGCGCAGTCACTCAGAATCACTGTGCACTCACTAACAGCAATGTGACAGCTAGTAGGAAACATATGAGTCAAATATCTTCAAGTGGAAAATGTCAAAAGGTTAGAACTCACTGGAAACAAACTTTTTTCTCAAGGAACTTAGAAATGTTCAGTAAAAGTAGTTTTTCCCATGGCAGTATTTAATGAAGTCATTAATGATCCAGAGTTATCTGAACTTCCCCCACCCAGACTCCTTCTACACTGAAGTTCTCATTCATTTACTTCCAGGAAGTGTCCAACTAGACCTTATGTCTGATCTATGGAGCTGGCAAAATGGCTGGTGGGATTAATTGAATCAGCTGTCTTTCAAGACAACATGATTTTCTCCATATTCTGCCCCTATCAGAGTAATTTCTCTCCATGTCACTCTATCTTTCCAGCTCATTAAGTCCCCTGCAAAGATGGTGGAAGGGTAAAAGTCCAAGTGATTCTGTTTCATCTGTAACTGTGAAGAAGGAAATAGACTGTAACATTTTTACATGGATTTAGTGTATTTTTTGAAGACAGTTATATCTGAGAATATCATTCTGAGAAGGTCATTAAGAAAATTGCTGAAATAAATGCAATGATAACCAAATTGCTGGAAAAAAAAGAGCAGGCAACTGAAATTAGCAATATTTGGTTAATTGGGCTGCTGCAATTTATTCTTAAAATGAACCTTTCATTCAGAATCCTGATGTACTTTGTAAAATACCTTACTTCTTATTTGCTTGTAGGATTGAATTATTTCAAGTTTCTTACATTCCTTGAGTAATACAAACATGAAGTGCCTTCAGTTGTTGGAACATCCTACTTCCATTGGTAATTTGCCCTTAATAATGCCCCCAACCAATTCCTCACAAACTCTCTCCTCTCCATTAAATTTCCTTCCACCTTGCAAACACATGTAATCTTGGTCCTAAAGGGGCATCCAACCTTTACACCCAAGGATCACAGGATCTGTACCTACTTGACATATAAGGACCTATGTGCTCTTTAAATGTACTCAGACATCTTCTCATGCTTCTAGAAACACCTCACAAGCTTTTCTTTTTTCTCTCTCTCTTTCATGCTTAGGGCCTATGCATACATTGGTATATAATATAACCATTATCTGCAAACAAATTGCAGAAAGCAACTAAAGGTTTCTGCTAACAAATGCATATTGTTTACAGGGAAATGGTAGAATTTAGATATTTCAATAAACCTGCCAAAGTCTTGGGAAGCCTGTCAGTTTTTAGACTTCCCTGACGCCAGATATAATATGGCACCTTACTCCTGCCCTTACCTGTTACCTCCATCCTGCATTCTCAATCTCCTTTCCTTTGGAAAGTTTGCTTTAGAGCATTTATTTACTTGATGGTACATTATGTATTTATTAATGATATTTGGTTGATTAGTATTTGCCTCTAATTAGGAAGTAAGCTCCAGGAGGGCAGGCAGGAACACTGGATAGTTTCCGCTGTATACACAGCACCCAGAAACATACCTGGCATTCATAGCGGATCTTCCAAACATTTTTGTTAAGTAAAGGAAGGAAGTAAAGAAGAAAGGGAGAGAGGCAAATTGTGATTAGAAAATTGATTTTGGAATTAGAAAGTACTGAGCTGCAACACAGTTTCATTGCTTCTTAAATGTAGAACTTTGGGCAGATTAAGTAAATTTTCTGAGCCTCTGCTTTCTTATCTGTGAAATGAAATTAACTTTCCCTCTCCTGCACAGATACTTTGAGTGTAAGTGTGACAATATAGGTAAAATCATCAATCATCATTCCAGGTACCTTATACACACATCTACATGCATACAAACACACACAGACACGTGTGTTTATTATACAATCCAAGCATTGTTTCACATATATAAATCTGAAAGTATCATAACTATGTAAAAGTAAACCAGTAGTTAATGAGCGCTTGTCAAATTTGAAAGTGAATTGTAAGACCCAATTCTTGTACGTAGGGTCTACGATGAGTTAGGATTCCTCTCAGGCATCTCCCAAGCATCAAAGCCTCTCCCTTCATTGTAGCATCTTGCTGTCTATTGCTTTTTCTACTTTAGATCAGCTAGGGAATTGCTTGTCAACTTTAGTATCACAATCAGTTGTGCAATTTGTGGCAGGCGATTTATTACCAATAACTGAAATGATGTTAGTGAGTGTTTTACTTTTTAATATAAAATAGAGGGAATCCAAGGTTATCTCCATAATCACTTCCTGCTCCCTCACCAGCATCTTGAAACTTCCCCCTGAGTAAAAGGGAATGGAGTGAAAGTACCACCCCAGAAGCTATGCATCACCTTCAGTGCTACCCATGAAATGTTGCTTGGCAAGTGAGCAATATCTATCATGTGTGTCTCTGAAGAAAAAAAAAAAAGAGGCATGCTGAAGCGTCCTTGGAGATTTTTTGAGGATCTGGTTTTTGTGGGAATACTGTGTGTGCTTCTCCTTACCCGGTGACAGATGGAGGCATAGAAGCATGGGGCGAGGCTAGGAAGAAAAGGAATTAAATTGTTAACTTGGATGCGGCCCAGGACACATTTTAAAGTCAAATTACAATTATGCTATTTGTGTAAGTGTGAGGTAAAAATAACATTTCTGTACACAAAAAGCAAAGATCAAGGTAAACATTTGGATAAATAGTCCATTTTTTAATTGGCAAAGTTACCTACTCTAATAGAAGATATATTTTTTTGCATGCATATTAGGATATTGAGAGATTTGCTTATTGGCCCTGGAATGGACTACTGAGATTGTAAGCCAAGAACATACGCACATAAGCTACCTAATAATTGTGGGTCAACAGCCTCTCTTGGGTTTATTAAGAAACAAATAAGCTCAGCTATCACATATCCTACTGCTATTATGCAGCTTACATGAGCAGAAGGTAAGGGGGACAGAGGACCATTGAGTAGGCAGTTGTTAGCCTATGAAGGCAGGGCTATCTCTTATCCACTCCTCCCTCCCTTATGGAGGGGTGAATAAGAAGACTCCTCTACTGAGCCCAAGCCAGGAGAAGTCCAAGAGAATCCCTCATCAAGATTGAGAGATGTCTGTGAGAAAGCAGACTAATGTCAGGTTTGGGGTTGACGGTTCATTTATGCAATCATTGTGCTGATCTGATGTCAGTGACTATTTTGAACAAGGAAAACAGAAGTGGAGAGAGCTGGCAGAGTGACGGAAGGCACAGTGAAGTCCCCTACTTTTCTACTATTTAGCACTGTGAAGCCAGAGGAGGATCCCGTCGGTGAAGTGAGTACCACAGACGCGTCTTGCTGGCACCACATCCAAGAAGATTGGTCTTTAGGTAAGAAAATTCCAGCAGCAAGAGGCCATGAAGGGGTATCTAGCATGGAGGTTATAACTGATAACAAAAGACAGCAAGGTGGAATAGATTTCCCATATTTGCAAGCCATCTAGAAGGATGCCTCAAGATCTCACTGGTGCCACCATTGCTGCTCCCTCAAAACTGGGTATCAGGGGCCACTACCTTTAATCCACTCTCTAGAGGACTTCATTCTTACCCTCCTGGGAGACAAGGGGACATACATATCTGAAACCTGCATCTTCTTTTAAATCATGTGCTAAGTACCCAGCACTGCAGAATCATCTCTCCAGACAGCCCCAAGCCTGCTTCCAGATCCTCCCGGGCTTCTTCCTGGGTCTGTTCTCTTGAGAAGTGCAAATTTCATACTCAAAGAGTGGCCAAGTGATAGCTGTTTGCAGCTGATGGCAGGAGGTAAGAAGCTTGAAAATGTCAGCTAGGATGACCACACATAGGTGTATGAGGTCACTGTTAGTCTGAGACAGACCTAGGGCTACAGAGAGAAGGACAGAAGGCCTTGGGCCACAGACAGACAAGGAAGCAGAGGCAGTGACAGTGTATCCCATGCCACCATGCTAACATAACAAAATTCCAAGAAGTTCAAGAAGTCTAAACTCCAACTGACTTTGCAAATCATTATGAATATATATCTATCAAAATAAGGGCATGGAATATATTTTATTCAGTACTTTGTTACCTTGATTTATAACCTTTTTTTTTTTTTTTTGAGACAGAGTCTGGCTCTGTCGCCCAGGCTGGAGTGCAGTGGTGCAATCTCGGTTCACTGCAAGCTAGGCCTCCTGGGTTCACGCCATTCTCCTGCCTCAGCCTCCAGAGTAGCTGGGACTACAGGTGCCCGTAACCACACCCGGCTAATTTTTCTGTATTTTTAGTAGAGATGGGGTTTCACTGTGTTAGCCAGGACGGTCTCAATCTCCTGACCTTGTGATCTGCCCACCTCGATCTCCCAAAGTGCTGGGATTACAGGCGTGAGCCACGGCGCCCGGTTGATTTATAACTTCTTATATTTTGACAGAAGAAATCTAGACCTCCACTTGTACTCATACCCCAGGCCTAACAGGTGTTGGAGCAGGCAACAGAGAGAAATCTGTGGCCCACCAACCAGTGCTAGACAAGTGATAAACAATAAACGCTGTCACTTCCAATCGCTTTTCTCCTTTCTGCAACACAGGCGTGGGGACCTAGGAAGGGGAGGAGGATGAGGAAAAGGAAGGTAGGCAGCACGTTCCAGGAGCAAGGCACAGTCCCTCCTCTCTCTTAGTTCTTCCAGCCCTAAGTCAAAGGTTGAATGGTATCAGAGAATGAATGGGGGTTTTTTTGTTTTGTTTTGTTTTGTTTGTTTGTTTGTTTGGAGATGGAGTCGTGCTCTGTCATCAGGCTGGAGTGCAGTGGCACGACCTCAACTCACTGCAACCTCCGCCTCCCGGGTTCAAGCGATTCTCCTGCCTCAGCCCCCAACTAGCTGGGACTAAAGGCATGCATCACGATGCCCAGCTAATTTTTTGGTATTTTTAGTAGAGACAGGGTTTCACCATATTGGCCAGAATGTTCTCGATCTCTTGACCTCATGATCTTCCCGCCTTGGGCTCCCAAAGTGCTGGGATTACAGGTGTGAACCACCATGTCCAGCAGGCCAAGAATAAATGTTTTAGAGGTAGAACATTCTGGTATCATTATGGAATTTGTCTGAGATGTTGACAACGTTTTTTAAAAAGAGATTGGATAAGACATATTTAAATATGGTGATCTGAAAAAAATAAAACCACTCATTTTTTAAATCTCACCAAATTCAAGCTACTTAATAAACTGTTTAGAGATGGACTGAGTGCATATACTCAGGTATATCTGTGATACCTGTACAGGGTGTATCCCATACTCAGTCCATGAATTCTAACTAGAGAATTATTCAACGTCTCCCATCATAGTATTTCCTGCAGTTGGATATTTAGTAACCAGAAGCATGATGCGTTCTGAATTTCCAAATTTAGAAAATTCTTAGAGAAAAAAGGAAAATCTGGAAATGGATGTGTCTTAGACCATTTGGGCTGCTATAACAAAATACCATAAATGGGGTGGCTTATAAATAACAGAAATTTATATCTCCAAGTTCTAGAGGCTGAGAAGTCCAAGATCAAGGTGCCAGCACATTCCATGTGTGGTGAGGGACCGTTCCTCATAGAGGTGCCTTCTCGCTGTATCCTCACATGGTAGAAGCTCCCTTGCTCCTATATAGTGAGAAAACAAATCCCATTTATGATGACTCCACCCTCAGGACCTTGTTACCTCCCAAAAGCCAACCCTAATGCCATCATCTTGGAAGTTAGGATTTCAACATATGAATTTTAAAGGGACACATTCAGACCATTGCAGAGTAAAAAGTGAGTGTAGGTACAAATAGAGCCTGTGTGGAAGGCTCACTGGAATTTGTTTTCCGTAATAGGGATTAAAGAGAAAACTATTGCAACCTTGAATGATAGCCCCATAGCAAAGTTGACTGGGAATAATGTATTGGCCTCTACTTACTAAAGAAGATCAAAGAAGAAAAATCAGAGGGAAGAACTATTAAGGGCACTATCATAAGGATTTAATCAGAATTAGTGTAATGGCTCAGTGTAGGAAATGAGAGAAGAATAAAATGTACATACTTGATGTCCCCAAAATTATTTTTAAGACATTTTATAAGAAATAAGTAAAATGAAAGGAAGGAAGGAAGCGAGGCAGGGAGGGAAAACTTAGACCCTGCGAGAGTTATCCAACTTGATAAGAGAAAAAGCCCCACTGACACGTACTGCCCAGACCTAGGATCTGCAGTAGAACCTCTGCACTTTTCTAATGGCTGCTTTGTACAAGCCGTGTCAACACATGCTCTAAGGTCCTTCTAGGCATGCTTACCATACACTACAATGCTATTTGCTATTTCTGTGTGACACATTTTCCCAACACATATATCATTATTTCATACTTGGCTTTGAGCACCATTCTTCCTGATGTTTGCATTTAATGTGGTGGCAAAGGTAGCAAATTAATTTTCTCATTGGGCCATTATAAGTTGTAAATAAAAGCCTTCTTGGTTGAATGAGCAGGCATATCATTAGAAATATTAAAACATTCCCTTTAGTTGAGGTAACTCCTTTCTGGTATATACTCACTGCCTATGCTCACTGCTCATCCCTCTTCCTTCATCCTTCACCTTGTCAATTGCTGACTCCAAGTAGGGCAGCCAGTTCTAGAAGTCATTTGTCATTTTTCTATTGTCCTTCAATAAACTCTGTCTGCCAGTGATGCTAAAAGAAGTTCTGCTAATGAATAGTCAGCAATGTCAGACCCCTTCCTGCTCTGCAGACACCAGCAAGACTTGTTGCTCCTCTCTAGGAGGTTTGGGTCCATTTCCTTTTACCACAAAGGCCATAATGCTTTGCACACAGCAGAAACTCCACAGGCATCCTGAAAACATACATAAGTCTATATTCCATTTCTCCCAGCGAACCACATAATAGGATGCATCAGACCTCTGAGAGATGAAGTCCACTGATAGATTTCCAAATCAATAATATAAATGGTGAAGAAATTTATATTATAGAAATTTACATCTCTAGAAATAAAAAATTTAATCTCAAAATATAAAATAAAGAGTGAGTTCTGGGAATTTATTCTTTTCCCCAGCATGTAACACATTTCCTGGAAATGGCCTTGTTCCCCTGAACCAGTGAAAGACACTGTGTTTTAAGGTGTCCAGTGAGAACATGAGGAAAACATGACCTGGTGAATTGAGTTTTGTATCATCCAAATGTATTTCTTTCACACTCTGTTGAGCCCTCAACTCTGAAGGCAGTAATCTGAAATGCCTTAATCTTTTTATCTCTGAAATCAAAACACCCCAGATTTATCCTGGCAAGGAATAAAGTTTTGTAGCACATCATTATAAAATGTAAAGCAAAAGTGAATGGCACACTTTTAAAATACCACATCCAAGAAGGTAGACTAAGAAGCTGCCCCATGTCCTCAAATTCAGATGCCCACAGGAGATAAGCAAGCAATGTATACATGAAGGACATGGGCCAGGTATAAAACAACAAAAGAGTAGATATGAGGATAACTAACAAGAACCCCTGGTCATGGATTTAGGGACATAATAAAGACGAGTAAAGACAGTGCTGAACTGAAAGGCATGACTGACAGGCCAGCTTCCACAGCTGCAGCTGATATTACCTGAAGAAATATAGGCCCTATTTTGCCATGTTGGTCAATTTTCTCAAAAGATGCCACTAATCCAGATTCTGGATAAAATATCTTGATTTTAAAGTATTAGCAACTAATACAGGGGTTTTTTTAACCCAAAGTATTATTAAATGGTTATGCTGGCTATTATTAACATGACAACTAGAAGAAGAGGTTATTCTGATTTCTGCTGCTTTGTATTATTTTTGTAATAAATTCTTGGTTTTGACCATCTCTCTTTTGATACATGACTTCTCTCCCAATAGGCATCTCAGTTAGCTCGCAAGAATAAAATTCTAGACTATACTCACTTTTTGATTTTCCAAACAGGAAGATCAAAGGAGCTCTTCTATCTATAGGATAGAGTGATGTTATCCTGTCCAGCTTGATCCTAGGATAGATTAACTCTAGAATTGAGCCTTTATGGAACGTCAAAAAGGGAGCATAGTCTAGAGTTTTATCCGTGTGAGTTAACTGAGATGCCTATTGAGGAAGCACTCATGTATCAAAAGAGAGATGGTCAAAGCACAGGAATTTGTTACAAAATTAATGGAAAGCAGCAGAGATCAGAATAAATATTCTAGATGTTGTCATCTGCTCCCTCAAGGCAAAGCACAAAGGACTTCAGCACAGAGCACAGCTCACCTGTGGAGGCAGCACTCATGTTCAGCAGAAGAAGTGGGTGTTCACAAGAATAAGCATCAGCCACAGTGGGAAGCAAAAAATGGAACTGGAACATAGAGGAGAAAATGGGGCATACCATGAAGCCAAACTCTATGGTTTGAGTGTTTGGCCCCTCCAAAACTCACATGTTGGAAACTTAATCACCAATGCAACAGCGCTAGTAAGTGTGGCCTCATGGTAGGTGTTTAGGTCATGAAGTCTTCACTCTCATTAATGGGTTCATGCCACAAATAAAAATGGCTTTCAGGAGTGAGTTTGCCTCTTTTTGCTCTTCTGCCTTGTAAGAAACAGTGTTCTTCCCCTCTAGGTGAGGTGCCATATTGGAAGAAGATACCAGACACTACCAGACACCAAACCTTCTGGCACATCGATCTTGGACTTCCCAGCCTCCAGAACTATGAGGAAGACCATTGACAATGCCAAGAGTATTTATTCTGATCTCTTCTGCTTTCCATTATTTTTGTAACAAATTCTTTTGTTTTGACGATCTCTCTTTTGATACATGAGTTCTTTCCCAATAGGCATCTCAGTTAACTTGCGTGAATAAAACTCTAGACTACACTCCCTTTTTGATTTTCCATATAGGAAGATCAAAGGAATAGACAGGTCTAGTCCTCTCAAGCAGTGCTTCTCAAACTTTAATGTACAAAGGAACTACCCAGGTAAAATATAAATGCAGATTTTGATTCAGTAGATCCGGGTGAAGCCAGTAATTTTATGTTTCCAACAGACTTCCAGCAGCCAATATTGCTGCTCCTCAGCTGGCTTGTTGAAAAAAAAAAAAAAAAAAAAAAAAAAAAAAAAAAAAAAAAGCCTCTTTCTGAAAATTGTAATGCTCCAAGAGAAAAAAAAAATCTTTGTTCAATCTAGAATGGCTGCATAGTTTTTAGGAACAAAGCTCAGGAAATACCTGAGTGTAATCCTAGTCTTGACCTTTCCTGAAGCTGAAACAGGTAAAGCAAGAACATCACCCACCAGACCCACCAGAATAAGTTTTGGAGAAATATTACTTGCATATGAAATTGATTCTAAACCACTTTATACACAGACATCAGTAAGTGCTGACTTTTCTGGAATCCTAAAATGCCTATTCACCAGTTAGGTTTTGTATCATATCTCATAATATTGAAAAACTAAATGTTAAGGTGTTTGTTCATGGACTTCCTTCCCTCTTTCACTTTAATTGTCTAATTTTTATCTTGTCTTCTAATAGTCCTATTAGCACATTATGGTTTGTACTTAATAACCCCCGTTCATCCTGTTTCCCCTAGAAATACTAAGGTAGCCTTTCTGCCAGGAGAACTTCTTTTCCAGTAAAATTTATTCACCCTAAGAAACGCTTATCTCAGGAACTCTAAAAAGCCCTCTGTACCTCCATCCTGACTGGCCACCTGTTTCAGTGACTATTTAATTAAAACAGGTGTCAGTGGCTCCATTTGTCACTCTCCCTATGTAAGGGAGAGAGATAATAAAGTCATGAGTCGCTGCCAGTAAAGTCCTCTCTGGTGAGTCTCAGCTGAGCTGCAGATATACAGCATTTTCATTGGCAGTTTTTCCAACCTTTCATTTGGGATTAATTACTCTGCAGGAGCAGTCTGCCTAGCACAACAAAACAATTTCATTCATCAACTGAGGGTGTGAAATTAATGAAAGCCACAACCTCATTGGAATGAAACACTAAGCTTTCATTTGTGCCATCAACACCAGAGGAGATGGGATACTTTTTTTCTCTTTCATATATTTCTGCTTTCAGCAATAAAATCAGATTAGACTTTTGTAAATGCCAAGGATTCCACTAGATAGATAGATAGATAGATAGATAGATAGATAGATAGATAGATAGATAGATAAATGCCAAATGTATTGGGAAACCATCAGCAACCTCTGGAGACAATGAATAAAAGCAAATTATGTAAAGCATCTTCATATCAGTCTTCTTTTTAAGGGGGAAATTCTTGGTTTTGTTTCCTCTCAGATTGCCTTTGACCCTAAGCAATCACAGACCTTTATGGCAAAATAACAGTTTATTTGTCAATCTATTGATCCTCAATATGTATACTCAATATGTATGTATATACTTAAAATTACTGACTAATAACTATAGGGAAGAAATCATCATTTTGCAAACATCATTCTAAAAACTGATACCGGCAAAAGTAATCAATAGATACTTAACCTTGGATGTAGAACTTTGATGAGGAACATGTTATTTACATAGCCTAAAATATCTCCCAACAAATTATTTATTAATCACATTGGGGAAAATGGCTGTACAGTAGAGAAGTTGGATAATACCATAATAAAATGAAGAAAATTAATATTACTAGGAAGTAAATGGAAATTATGTGCCTTCAGATATTATGCACCCAGAAGAATGCAACATCACTCCTATAATATTCCAGACAAGAATGTTTATTTGCCCTGAATCTAATTAGAAGGAAATATCAGATAAATCCAAATTAAAAGATATTCTATCAAATAATTAGCCTATGATTTTCACAATGTCAATGGCATGAAAAACAACAAAAGGTTAAGGCAATATTATCTCGAAAACTGACAGATATTCATTTGCTTCACATTTGAATCATGACTTTTTTTAGCTTGTGTAGTTTTACCTGGTGTTTATAATTTACTGTTTTCTTAGGTGGTCCTCTTTGTGCCCGAAAACTTCCCTTTTACTACCATTTAGCCTTTAATGAAGGCTAAATGAATTAATCCGGTCTGGACCAAATGTGCTCTAGGTCTGCTGAGGGATTTCATCATGGTATCTTCCCTTACTGTTTTCCTGAGTTGGATACAATATTTCTTGAGTTCCAAATCTTATTTCTCTGCTTATAACTTTCTGTTTTACAAAAGCACATGCTTCGGTAATCTTATTTTTTCTGAAATGATGTAAGAAAGGTAAACTCTCTTGAATCTTTGAACATAAGGAATTTTTTGTTCTATTATTCTTATACTTGATTAGTAGTTTGGCTGGGAATAAAATTATCTGTTCAAAGTCATTTTTCCAAGAGATGTCCAGTCAAGATAGCATTGTAACTTTAAGTTTGGATATGCCTCCAACCCAAAGTTCCAAGTACCTAGAAATGGGAGGTAAAATAAAAAAGAGTACAATCTTTAAAAATCCAAATATTACGTTCATGTTAGGGATTAGAAATGAAACAGAAACAAAGTAATAGGCAAGGATGAAGCCACATAAGCTCCACAGCAATGGACTGAAGCCAGACTCACTTCTTGAAATGGGACGGGGCTATGACTCATCATCTCATGACAGATACAAAAAAAATGATCTCACTGGATATATACGAATACATCTTATATGAGATGTGTCAAGATACAAGCAGAGCTTTGCAAATAGGACCCAAGCCAAGCTACTCCCTTGTTTTGTAACAGGATCTAAGACATGCCCTGTATCACCACAAAACAAAAGTTTTAAATCGCAATTTAAGATATGGTTCCAGACTTGGTAGAGATACTAAAAACTACTAAAAAAGGAGAAAAAAAGAGACAAAGAGAAAAATATCTTTTCATTAAAGACAATCCTACACACCCTAATTGATTCCAAATCTGAGAAGAAAATGAGCTCTAGGAAAAACAGTCAGTGCAAGTGAAATGAAAATGCTGGTGTAATCTGAAGAAGACTTTGTGTCACATGCCTCTCACATACCACTTCAGATTTTCATGGCCTTGCATCTTTCCCATCCCATTCTCTGCTATGATGACAAGCTGTGCATTGGTTCCAACCAGATTTAAGTGGGTGGAAGTTAGCAAGATTTACCACAGGTTTACCCCACATTTTTACTGCTACCCAGGGAGTGCCCACTCAACACTAGACTGAGACTACAGGTTTGTTTCTCTGAACATAGCTAATTGTATTAGTTCATTCTCATGCTGCTTTGAAGAAATCCCCAAGACTGCATCATTTATAAAGAAAAGAGGTTTAATTGAATCACAGTTCTGCATGGCTGGCGAACTTACAAGGCCTCAGCAAACCTAAATCATGGCGGAAGACACTTCTTCAGAGGGTGACAGGGGAAAGAACGAGAGTTGAGCAAAGGGAGAAACCCCTTATAAAACCATCAGATCACATTAGAACTCACTCACTATCATGAGAACAGCATGTGAGAAACCACCCCCATGGTTCAATTATCTCCACTTGGTCCCACCTTTGACGCATGGGGATTATTATATGTGCTGCCAAAGCAAGCACTACACATGGGGATTATTACAGTTCAAGGTGAGACTTGGGTGAAGACAAAGACCCAAGCCATATCATTACAACCCTAACCCCTCCCAATTCTCATGACCTCACATTTCAAAACACAATCCCACCCTCCCAACAGTCCACCAAAGTCTTAACTCATGCCAACATTAACTCAAAAGTCCAAGTCCAAAGTCCTATCTGAGATAAAGCAAGTCCCTTTCGCCTATAAGCCTGTAAAATCAAAAGCAAGTTAGTTACTTCCCAGATACAATGAAGGTACATGTGTTGGGTAAATACAGCCATTCCAAATGGGAGAAGTTGGCCAAAACAAAGGGGATACAGGCTCCATGCAAGTTCAAAATTCAATAGGGCAGTTATTAAACTTTAAAGTTCCAAAATGATCTCCTTTGACTCCATGTTTCACATCCAGATCATGCTGATGCAAGAGGTGGGCTCCCATGGCCTTGGGCAGCTCCACCCATGTGGCTTTGTACAATACAGCCTCCCTCCCAGCTGCTTTCATAAGCTGGTGTTGAGTGTTTCCAGGTGCAGATTGTAAGCTGTAGGTGGATCTATTATTCTAGGGATTGGAGGATGGTGGCTGTCTTCTCACAGCTCCACTAGGCAGTGCCCCAGTGGGGACTCTCTGTGGGGGCTCCCATCCCACATTTCTCTTCCACACTACCCTAGCAGAGGTTCTCCATGAGGACTCTGCACCTGCATCAAACTTCTGCCTGGAAATCCAGGCATTTTCATACACCCTCTGAAATCTAGGTAGAGATTCCCAAACCTCAATTCTTGATGTCTGTGCACCTGCAGGCCCAACACCACTTGTAAGCCACCATGGCTTGGGGCTTTCATCCCCTGAAGCAATGGTCTAAGTTATACATTGGCCCCTTTTAACCTCATTGGAGCTGAAGCAGCTGGGATGCAGGGCACAATGTCCTGAGGCTGTATAGAGAAGGGGGCCCTGTGCCCAGCCCACGAAACCATTTTTCCCTCCTAGGTTTCTGCACCTGTGATGAGACAGGCTGCCATGAAGGTTTCTGACATGCCCTGGTGATATTTTCTCCATTGCCTTGGTTATTAACATTCAGACTTTTGGTTACTTATGCAAATTTCCACAGAAGTCTTGAATTTCTCCCCAGAAAATGGGTTTTTATTTTCTATAACTTCATCAGTCTGCAAATTTTCCAAACTTTCATGCT